GGCCGGGTCGGGTCGCGGGGGGATGGAGGAGTACAGGGATACGGGAGGAGGGCCATGGGGACGCGGGACGCAGGGCCGAGGACATGGGACACAGTGCCGGGAACACAAAGCTGGGATCACAGGACAGTGAGTTGGGAATACAGGACAATGCTGGAGAGATGGAAAGCAGTCTGGGACATGGGGATATAAGGCTGGGGACATGGGGAGCAAGAATGGGGAGAGGGACACAGTCTCAGGGACATGGGACACGGGCTGGGGTATAGGACAGGGCTGGGCAGAGGGGACACAGTCCTGGGGACACTGGACACAAGGTTAAGGATACAGAACACCAGGCTGGGGATATGGGGCACAGTCCCAGGGACATGAATGCATCACGGCTGTGGGGCAGAGGAGGGGACAGTGCTGGGGACACCCAATGTAGGGCTGGGGGCGGTACAAGGACTAGCAGGGGCTCATCACCCCAACCAGCCCTATCTGAGGGCTCAACCCCTCCCTGCCCAGCCCGGGGACTGCATTTAGGCTTCGTGCCTAGGCTGGGCTTTTGCTGAGCCTGGCATTCGTTCTATAGCTCGGTTTTGGGTCGTTCCAGCCCTGCTCAGCCCCAGGGCTCCCGCAGGGCTGCGCTCCCCCTGCAGCAGCAGCGTGACGGAGACCCTGGGGTGGGGACCAGCAGCTGTGTCCAGCCCAGGCGCCGCCTCGTCACAGTGCCCGGGGCCGCAGGTGCAGGTGACACCGAGGACATCCTGCCCGGGACACAGGGCTCCTTCCCAACGAGCGCTTAAGGTCACCGCGTGCCTTTCTGCGCCTCAGCAGCCGAAACAGCCCTGGGGCACCTGCCCGCCTGTCCTGCCGGTAGCCCAGGGGACACAGCCCGGCCACCCACAGGTTTGCAGCCTGCCCGCAGCAGCGATTCACAGGGCAGAAGCTCTTGAGCCGGGAGGGAGGTGGAAATGAGCTGCACCAGATGGATTTGGGGGAGTGGGAAGTGTCTGGCTACAAGGGCAGCTGACCCCAGAGGGAATCTAGAGCACAGGGATTGATGTAGTCACCCAGATCTGCTAGAGCCTCTGGCTTTTGGAGTAGGTTTTCAGCAAGGGGAGAAATAGAATAAGAATTTAGAGATGTGTTTAACTCCCTTTGTTTTCCCCCTCCACAGGCATCTGCGCAAAAAGCTCTGGCTGGACAGTGGGTGGAACAATCCTCACAACCCTTATTTGGACTCAGCTTTGGGGAAGAGCTGCAGCTCCCCAGCAGCGCTGGAACCCAGGTTGGAATCACAAACCGGAAAAAGGGAAGGTTTGGAATTTTTTTGTACCCATGAAAGTGGACTTGGGGAGAAAATCCAATTTGCTCCAGGAGATATTGCACTGCTTCCTTGCCTTGAAACCCCCGATCCCAAAACCCCATATCCACCAAAATTGGGGCTCCTCTGTGGTAGTTGCTCATCCTCTTCCCTCTTTCCCTCTTTCTTACAGGAGTTTCTGCTGAATCGATGTCCATCTGAGCTGGGACACAACGCTGGACTGTGTCACACAGGGATAGAAGGGGAAGTTGTGAACAGCTGGGGACTCTGGTGGGACAACTGGGAATCACAGCGAGTCCCCAGACTCCAGTGGAACGAGTGGACAAGGTTCAGCTCCGCCCTGGGTCCTCCGGGAGGGAACCCGAGCAGGAGCAGCCTCCGGGGAAATGGGTGGAGGGTGGCACCGGGTGCGTGGAGCCTTTCCCACCCCAGGGCCCGCGGGGATCCGGGACGCGGGGCCGGGACTCCCGTGGAGCGCGGGGTCACACCGCCCTCTGCCGGCGCCACGGGACAGGTGGCACCGGGGCTGTCCCCGCCTCGACAGCGCCTGTGTGACCCAGGCACAGCACCCCGCATAGTCCAAGGGCTGCGGTTCCCTCGGACACAGGAACAGGAGGTATTTTATTCCCGAAACAGAGCACGAACAGTAGAGTTAATGCATGAGAGACAACAGACTCAATGCAGGTCAGAGATTCCCGGTGGAAGATAAATAAATTACACAAAGAAGGAAAAAATGGTTTGATGGAATGAGGGATGTAGAGACTGGACTCTTCCCAGAGTGTGTAGTGATTCCCAGGCACTGGAACATGAGGTGGGTGCTCAGCTCTTGACAGGGGTGGATGCGGTCTTCATGGTCTTCTTCAGGTGGTGGTAGTTGGGCAGGATCTTCATGAGGAAATCCAGCTGCAGCGTCTGGGGCTGGAAAGGGAGGGCAGGGGAGGTGAGGGCACAGCCGAGGGGGACAGGAGGTGGCAGCCAGCGTGTCCCTGTGCCCCCCCCACACACACACACACCTGAGGCCGCTCGGTCTGCACGCGGCGCAGGCAGTCAGCGCCGTAGATGACGGTGTTCTCCGGGATCACCTCGTAGGTGTTCACGTTGCAGCAGGCCCCGATGATGCAGCCGCTCGTCAGGATCACGTTCCTGCCTACAAACGCTGCCAGGGAGAGCAGAGGGAGGAGTCTCTGTGAGAGCTGTCCCCACAGCATTTACAGCAGGGCCAAAGGCACTGAGCCCAGAGTTACCTTTGGATTCTATGACGTTGTTGTCTCCCACCTTCATTGCTTGGGAATCTACAGGTCTGCGTTAAGTAAAATTGTAAAAGGCTTTGCTTTTTTTCCACAGGTGAAAAACCCTGATGCCATTTTTAAAGCACCACCCAGCCCTGGGCTATCTGAACCCTAAGAGAGCCCCAGAGATGTCTCCCCACCGTGGAGAGATCCAGAAGCACGATGTGCCAGATGGTTTGTCATTGCACAGCCAGGATACAGCACCCAACCTCAAAAACATTGTTGGTGCCAATGACCATGGGCTTGGGCTCCACATCTTCGCTCTCTGGGGTTATATTTTCTGGGTACCTGCGGGAAGGAAGAACAGATTTCCATGCCTGAAATAAACAATGACAGTGCTCTGTGTGGCAGCTCAACTTTGGGACAGATTGAAGGCACAGATATCCCACCCAACTGAGCTGAACTGTCAGAATTTTGAGACTGCTCTGGATTAAGATTCTTCTACTCTGTCATCTTGAGAAGGATTCAGAAAGGGACGTAGAAACCATCCAGTATCTGAAGGGGGCCTTCAAGGAAGCTGGAGAGGGACTCTGTCAGGAACTGGAGCGACAGCACAAGGAGTAATGGGCACAGACTTAAAGAGGAGATAAATTAGGCTACATGAAGGAAAGAAAATCTTTACTGTGACGGGAGTAACACACTGGAATAGGCTCCCCAAGGCAACAGCGGCTGCCCCAACCCTCGAAGTGTCCAAGGCCAGGCCTTGTGATTCTGTGGCTTCCCCCATGCCATAGTGCCACACATGTACACAAAAGCACGACGTCTGGTGATTTTTTTTTTTTAACAAGCTCTACCTCCCCAGGTTTTTTAAGCCCCCCCAGGGCGTCGCACGGACCCGTTGATGATGAGCGCCTGCTCCTCGATCAGGTTCCCCTCTCCGATGACGATAGGCCCCGCCTCGGCGATGATGCGGNGGGATCGCGCACCGACGGAGCGGCAACACGAGGCGGAGCTCGGGAACACCGGGAACACCGAAGGGACCATCGGGGAGCTGGGCTGGAGGACGTCCGGCAGATGGGAGGTGTCACCGAGCCCACAGCTTGTGTTCCTGCAGCCAAAATAAAATCAAAAGTGCCCTGCAGCGTGGCTGGAAAGGCTTTGTGCACCCTCGGGGCCGTGGAGACGGTGGAAGAGGGGTCCAGATTCACCTCCGCAGGCAGGAACAGGTCCCAGCCCTGATCCTGGGGCTTTAGATAAAGCTCTAAAAAACTAAGGAAAACCAGGGAAAAGTCTCATCAAATGCCCCTAAAGACAGCAATCTCTGGGTATTGGGGTATCCAGCTACGTGGAAACATCGGCACCCAGAGAGGGGCACCCTGGGCACCCCCAGCCCCCACCTGTCCAGCTGAGCCCTCCCCAGCACAGGGGGGGCGGATTTTGGGGGTGCTGCAGGCAAAGAAGCCCCGGGTTGGGGTGCAGGAGGATGGCAAAGCCAGCCCAGGAAAGCAGGAAAATCCCCCGAGGGCAGATGTGGCAGCTTTGTGCGCAGCAAAGGGAAGGACAAGGGGACACCTGGTGTGCAGAGATGAGCCAGAGCGATAAACCAGAGCCAAACCCAGGAAGAACTCCCTGTTCAAGGCAGCTTGTCCCTTTTCTGGGGAGCACTGGCAGTCCCTGGATCACTGCTCGGTTGCCCTGGAATGTGAGAAACAAGATGGATTTGGCTGGCACCATCCCTGTCCATCTCCTGCCAGGGCCACTCTTATCGTGGGATACAGACCTGGGCAGAAAGAAGAAACTGGTTTTAGTTTGGTTTTGGCTTTTACTTTTTTCCCCAAGGATCCCACTGGCCTGGGATAGTGCCTGCTGATGCCAAGGCACTGGATCCACTCACCACCCTCATGTCACAGCCCTTGGCATCTGTTTTCCAAAATATTAATTGCTAATTATTTCTAATTCTTTCCAACTAATAAGTTGGGTTTCACCTTGTTCTGTTGGGGTGGGTGACCCACATCTCATTCCTGTGCTCAGGTTTGCATCCTTCACATTCCAGATGTGCAGGGTAAGGGCTGGCAATTCCAGTGACCCTCTGGGATTCCAAGGAAAACTGGGGAAATGCCATGAAGCCAGCCAAAGATATCTCTGCTAGGTGACACCATCACTGCTTATGCGGAGAAAAGCCACCCAAAAATACTCAGCTGCTGTTCAAAACAGCACAAGTAATAATCCTCCTACCAAAACCACCAGATTCCTTGGAAAGTTCAGGCTGCTCCTGACTGATGCCAGCCAGCATCACCTCCCCAGGGATTCCATCCAGTCCTTGCCAGCCTGGGCATAAACCAGTTGGCTTTCCCACTCTGTGTTCTAGCTGGGATTTATATTTGGGGTTTTTATAGCAATTTTCTTTCCCAGCTCTCATTCCTCCTGCCCTTAGCCCGGTGACACAAGGTGGATTCACCTCATGCCTTTTCATCCCACCACCTCCCTAACCCATTCCCAAAAATGTAAAGGAAGTAGCAAAGTTCCTGACTTGGTTGTGTGGGGTTTTTTTAAATTCCCAGCCTTAGTGCTCAGCACAAGACCTCCTGTCCAGTCAGTCTGTTCTCCAGGAACTCATCAGGTTAAAGCAGGAATTCGGTGGCAATGCAGGAATTCCAGGGTGGCATCCAGGGAAGCATCACTTCACTAAAACCAGGGAATGTGGGGCTGCCATGGGAAAAGCCCAGTGAGGATTACCTAAAGCACTGAATAAAACAGCTCCAACATTCACCTGGCCAGTGCTCCATGAAGCCTTACAAACAAACCTGAAAGTGTTTTATCCACCTCTGAGACCTGCAGGGCTGCTGACTTCCCAGAGCCTGCTTTTCCCAGCCCTTTTGGGCCTGCAGCAGCCCAGCCATCGGCTCCAACCCCCCAAAAAACAGACAGGAAAAAGTCTCATACCTCCTTTTCATTTTATTGGTCTCCCAGACTGTGTACAGCACATTCCCAAAGCAGCAGCAAGCAGTTTTCCTCTTGGCTTGGCTCCCCCCAGGCTGGCCCAGCAAAGCCTGGGGATGAAGAGCCTTTTACAGGAGGGGGAGAGATGAGCTCACACCAGCGCCTCCGGCAGCTGCGTGGAATTGAGGATCCACCTCCCCGCCCTGGACCCTGCTGAAGCAGGTGCCCAAAACGATGTCCCCTGGCACCTCAGGGCCGTGCTCCTTGNCCAAACCCCTCTTACACTCCCGATTCCCTGATCCGGAGGTGCTGGATCTCCTTATCCCGTCTCTGCCGCAGGTTTCTCTATGAGTATGCCAGCAGCTACAGCCAGGCTCCCCTGCCTGTGCTCCTGGCCTCCACCACCACCTTCCTCTCCATGGTCTCCACCTGCTGCATCTCCTCCGCACCCACTGCCTGCTTCCTGAAGGAGGTGAGACCCCCATCCTCACTGCCCAGGGAGCCAGGCAAGCGCTGTGCTGATTCCCACTCTATTTGTGGCAGAAACGGGAGAGGAAAACCCTCTCCCTACTCACCCTGATGTCAAACCGGATCTGCTCCCGCTTCTCGGCCTACGGCAAGGACAAAGCCAGCTTCAGGTATGGGGGGAAATGGGCTCTCCATCCTGGGACAGGGCTCCTCTCTCCTGCTGCAGATCCTGTTGGCAGGCAGCATTTAGGAAAACAAGCTTGAATTCTGCTGTGGATCCCTGCAGTTGCCCCGTGCACAGCACAGGCACAGAGCAATCCCTGCGCTCCCCATCCCCTCCCTCCCTTACCCTGCTCAGAGCTGATTCCTGGGAGGGGGGTCCAAGCCCCCAGCCCCACTCACCCTGTGCTCCCCAGCTCCCTGACCTCTCTGGCCCAGAAGATTCCCAATGCCTCCTTCGAGGAGCTGCTGCCCCTGGCCGAGGATGCTGCCGAAGTGGCTTGCCAGTGCTGTGACTCCATGGCCGAGGACTGCATGCAGAAGAAGGTGGGGGGGGGCTGGAGCCCAGCCCGAAGCAGCTCCAGCAGGAGCTCAGGGGGCTGAGGGCTCCTGCACAGGCCCTGCTCCCTCTCTGCAGCTCTTGGAGCACACGGCCAGAGTCTGCTCAGCGCTGTCGGAGCGGGACGAGCGCCTCGCCTCCTGCTGCCAGGGGAAAAACCTGATGGAAAACCACTTCTGCATCCTGGCCATGCCCCCAGCCCCAGCTGCCAGGCTGCCAGAGCTACCAGAGCCCACCAACAAGGAGCTGTGTGCCAAGGAAGGAGCTCTCCATGCCACCAGGTGAGCGGAACCCACGGCAGCCAGGGGGCAGTCATGGAATAAAACATTTAAGCTGGAAAAGATCCCTAAAATCACCGAGTCCCACCAGTTCCTGACCCTGTTCCATGCTTAGGTTATTATGGGGATAACCAGGCGAACATCCTCAATTCTCTCAGGGGAATTGAGGGCCACCTGAGGCTGTACAAAGATGCCAAAAGCGAGCCCCATCCCAGTCCGAGCAGCAGCCACAATGAGAGCTCACCTGAGCTCTCCCGTTTCCCGCTCCAGGTTCCTGTTCGAGGTGGCCCGGAGGTATCCCAACCTCCCCGAGGCCGTCCTCGCCAAGCTCTACGACACCTCCGGGAAATTCCGCGAGGAATGCTGCTCCTCCAAGGACCCCTCTGCCTGCTGGGACAGCAAGGTGAGTGCTGTGGGGGCTCATCCTGTTCCCCCTCATCCCAGTGCCCCCCAGATCCCATCCTGGTAACTCCCCGCCTCTGCCCCCAGCGCCAGCGGATCGCGGCGGAGCTGTTCCCTTTCCTGGCAAAGGCCGAGCAGCTCTGCGGGCAGTTCCATAAGCTGCCTTTCCTTGAGTTCAAGAAGAGGTGAGCCTTTCCCTTCCCCCCACAAAAAACCCACCTGGGTAGCTGGATGCAATCAGAATCCGTCCATAATGCTGAGGATGCCAAACCGGGATGCAGCAGGAGCCGCGTGGCTCCGCTTCCCGCTGTAACCGCG